TGAAACAGGCTCCAGGCTCAGCACAGAGCCCGATGCGGGGCTCGAACCCACGAACCGTGAGATGATCATGACCTGAGCCGAAGTCGGACGCCTAACCGACTGAGCCACCCAGGCGCCCCCTGTAAAGTTTGCATTTTTAAAGCCATGCACCTGTATGACATTTAAAATGATTAAAATTTGTTTTAAAAAATTCCTAAGAGGCTGGTAATTGAGGGCGGTAGAAGCCCTCGGAACTCTTTCCCCCACCTCATCCAGCCCTGCTCATTACCCCCACTACCACCCTGGGGTTTAGACGTGCCGGATCTGGGGCTTTACCTGGGAGGGGCCCACGTGGAGGGGGAATTGGAGGGTCAACTCCCAAGGAGGAAGTGCGGCTGAGGGGAGGAAGGTCTAATCGCTTAGTTCTGCTGACAGCCACCAGGGGTCGCCCCAACTTGCTCACCCGATTGCTGCCCTTGAAGGCTTCAGCTGGAGAGGTTAAGGGTGGTTCTGAAAGCTGCCCTCACCCCACCCCCAACTCTGGCGTCAATCCAGAAGTGTGCAGGAAGTGGCTTCTTCTGGAGTCAAGCAGAGCTGGAGACCAGGAGACTGATCTTGCTTTGTCTGACTTAAGACCCCTTCACTGGGTCGCTGTGGGATCCAAGGGTAAAAGGGCTGGGCTCAGGGGTGTAAATGGCACATAAAACATCATTATTACCAACTTACTCTGCGGGCTTCATCTTGGCCCTACCACCCGACCCCTGAAAATCAGTTTCGGGGAGGGAGAGAAATAGGGAGCCAAGGCAGGTGTGTGAGCAGGAATGGCAGTTAGATCTGGTGTCAGAAAGAATTGGGAAGAAAGAGAGGACACAGACTGAGCGAGAGCTTTGAACCTCCAGGGTGTAGGTGAGGTTTGAGGGTGACCTGGGGAGAACAAGCCCAGCCCCCCGCCCCTCCTTGCGCTGAGGATCCCTCAGCTGCCCAGGGAAATAAATAGCGCTCCTTGGTGGGACCTGCCTCCTGGACCCCCATCTGTTCCCACCTCACAGGGCCAGTCTTTGACCTGCCTTTGCTCTGTTCTGCCTCCCACTCTCTAATTATCCCTCCAAGTCTCTGTCTCTCTGTCTCCAAGTCTCTCTCTGTCTCTTTCTCTCTCTTTTTTAAATGTTTATTTTTGAGAGAGGGAGAGAGACAGCAGGGGAGAGGCAGAGAGGGGGACAGAGGATCCAAAGTGGGCTCTGCACTGACAGCAGAGAGCCCGACGTGGGGCTCGAACTCACAAACCTTGAGATCCTGACCTGAGCTGGAGTCGGAGGACGTTTAACCAACTGAGCCACCCAGGC